ATTCCCCCCTCATGCTTCATGGAGGGAGCGGCAAACGTTCCCTGCTTCTTGGGAGAGGTGGTGGCACCGGCTGCCAAGGGCAGGTGACCAGTGGCCCCGTCTGCAGCCAGCGGTGCCACGCGTGGGGGTGGGGCATCGCAGAGCCCTAGGGAGGGGCCCAGCGCAGTGTGTTTTTCTTTTTTTCTTTTTTTTGAGACACAGTAGTGCTTTGTTGCCCAGGCTAGAGTGAGTGCCGTGGCGTCAGCCTACCTCACAGCAACCTCAAACTCCTGGGCTCAAGCGATCCTCCTGCCTCAGCCTCCCGAGTAGCTGGGACTACAGGCATGCGCCACCATGCCCGGCTAATTTTTTGTATATATATTTTTAGTTGGCCGATTAATTTCTTTCTGTTTTTGGTAGAGACGGGGTCTTGCTCAGGCTGGTTTCGAACCCCTGACCTTGAGCGATCTGCCTGCCTCAGCCTTCCAGAGTGCCAGGATTACAGGCGTGAGCCACCGCGCCCGGCCTCAGTGCAGTGTTTTGAAATGCTCTTTAATTTTTAAAGTTCAAGGAATTCTTTTCCCCAGTTGGGATTTGTGGAAATATCTATTAATATTAATAATAAATAATAACGATTTGTCACATAACTGAGCTGTGCACAAATGTGTTATGCAGGGCGCGAATGGCCCCCACCGGCCTGTTCGCTGGGGTCAGGGGTTTTGTGTGCCCTGACGTGGGCCGACGCTGTTTCCCAAGTTGTAAGGGGGGCTGGCTCATGTTGCGCGCCTGGATTTAGGCACCGTCCAAGTGGGGAGTCCGGCGTGTCCAAATCGAACACTGCTCTCTGCTAGTGATGGGGAGTGGGCGCCGTCAGAGTGGAGAGTGCAGAAGGAATTAGCGAGTGTGTGTGTGCACGTGTGAGTCACTCCCGTGTCCACACACACACACACACACAGACACACACTGCGTGTCTGTGCCGTGTCCTCAGCACTGCTGAAGCACAGGGGCTTTCAGGCTTTACCTTGCTTCAGAACCACTGGGGGGCTGTAAGAGCCGTTGCTGGACCCACCCGAGTCTGATTCTGTAGACTGGGGGCCTGGACTGGCCACCTGACAAGCCCCCCGTGGCGCTGCCGCTGGTCCGGGACCCTCGAGACAGTGCTCAGGAGAATCACCCTGTGCGCCGTGGCAGTCTGCACGTGAGAATACACACACGTGAGGGTCCGCACACGTGAGACTCCGCACACGTGAGGATCCGCACACGTGAGAATACACACGTGAGAATCCGCACACGTGAGGATCCACACACGTGAGAATCGGCACACGTGAGAATCCGTACACGAGGGTCCGCCCACATGAGACTCCGCACACATGAGACTCCGCACACGTGAGACTCCGCACACGTGAGGATCCACACACGTGAGGGTCCGCACACGTGAGGATCCACACACGTGAGAATACACACATGCGAGGATCCACACATGTAAGAATCGGCACACGTGAGAATCCGTACACATGAGGATCCAAGCACGTGAGGATCCAAGCACGTGAGGGTCCGCGCACGTGAGGGTCCGCGCACGTGAGGATCCGCTCCTGCAGTTTTCTGTGTGCATTTGGGGCTCATATCTGAGCCGACCGCCCGCGCCCTCTGTCTGCGCCATCTTGACTCCCGGGCGTGTCTCTGGGCTGGGGCCACGCAGACCCGAGGCCACGCAGACTCCGGAGGCCCCAGGAGTGCTGTGTGTGCCGCAGAGTCCGTGTTTTGAATCAGAGATGATGAAGAAACAGCTGCAGAATCGAATGGTGTGAGTCAGGAAAAGACTGCGAGTCTCCACTAAAGGCTGACTCAGGAGGTCTTTGCACTAATGGAAACAGATCAGGGTTTTAGGAAACGTGGGCCAGGTTTTAGGTCAGCTGACCCCAGACACTCCCGCACGATGGTTTCTCTGTGGCAGCAGACGGCACATTTAAAAAAGTGCACACCCGCGAGGACGTCTGTCTGTGCACGCAGTGGGCGTGCACACCTGCGTGCCTCCTGCTTCCGGTTGGAGACTCCCTAGCGCTTTGCTTCCGAGTTCTCTTCCTTCTGAGATTCTCAGTGCGTTAAATCAATGCAAGTTTTCAGTTCTGGGGTTTCATAGGATTTTTTTTAATCGCGCCATCGTCTCTGCTGAAATCCCCGCGTTGTTGAAGAGGGGACCCTCAGCCCTGCCTCCTTCTGGGTAGAAGTCTCTTTCCGGCCGTCTGGCCGAGCCGGGGTGGTGGGTGGCTGTTTGTGGACAGGCTGTGAAATCGCTTTAGCTTAGACCAGCGCTGCCGACAGAAACATGATGGGCCCCACGGATGCTACGATCATGTTAATTTTCTTACAGTTTCATTAGAAAATTAGAAATGGCTTAATGTTAATAATATTTTATTTAGCTCTTTATGTCAGACATAGTCATATTTCAGCATGTAACCAATCAGCGTAAAAGTTTATTAATGATACATTTAAATTCCACGTTTTTGAATGAGGCCTTTGGGGTCCGCTGTGCACCTCTCCATCCCGGCCACCTGCCAGGTGCTCAGAACCAGCTGTGCCCAGAGGGGACCGGACCAGACCGGACTGGACCGGATGGCACCTACCTCTCCACCACCGGAGGGTTTGGCGGCACCAGTTTCAGATTTGGGGAAGGATTTGCGCGTAACGAACACTTGTCCGGAACTTTCCCTGCAGTCTCCTCAGCTTCCATGTTTATGTGGCCAGGTCCTCGTCAGTTTGTTCTGTAGCTTCCAGAATGTTCCGTCGTCGTCGTCTTCCTCTGTGGTCTGAGCGTGGGTTTGGGTGGGCAGACAGGAGTCGAGGATGAGTGTGTCCAGTCGTCGTGTGCTCGGAGGGAAGCCCGGCGTCTGGGTGGCGTGAGCGCAGGAAGATTCCGGGGCGGGTTGGGGCTGCATCCTGGGTGGTGGGGGGCGTGTTTTGCTAACGATCAGTCGCTGTGTGAGCCCCATGTCCTCCTCCGCGTTGCGGGTAAGAGACCTGCTCTCCAGGCATTTGTGGTTTACACTGAAGTCTTAGCCAGTCAGAATTCCTTCCTTATGAATAATTTATGTTTTTTTTATTTATTTTTATTTTTTATTTTGAGACAGAGTCTCACTGTGTTGCCCGGACTAGAGTGCCATGGCGTCAGCCTAGCTCACAGCAACCTCAAACTCCTGGGCTCAAGTGATCCTCCTGCCTCAGCCTCCCGAGTAGCTGGGACTACAGGCATGCGCCACCATGCCTGGCTCATTTATTCTGTGTATTTTTTCATTTCTTTCTATTTTTAGCAGAGACGGGGTCTTGCTCTTGCTCAGGCTGGTTTCGAACTCCTGACCTTGAGTGATCTTCCCGCCTCGGCCTCCCAGAGTGCTGGGATTACAGGCGTGAGCCACCGCGCCCGGCCCGTATTTTACATATGGACGGATTTATCCTTAAAAATCTCCACCCCAGACGGCTGCCTTCCTGCTGCGCCCTCCCCCACCTCGGCCCCCCGCTCTGCGCTTCCCTCAGCAGCTCCACGGGGAACCGTGAATCAAAATCTCCTTTATTTGAAGATAAACACATCGGAGTGGGAGGAGGGGGTTGTGGGGACAGTGTTGCCCGGCAACGGGGACGCGGAAGGAAGCCGACCAGGAGGGGGACAGGGCCGGGAGGACCCCGTTCACTGGCCGACCCCCCCACGCAGAACACAGTCAGCTTCAGGGACTCACGTGGTTTTCGAGAAGCCTCTTTGCGAACCGTAAACTAGAACGGTCACTGGCAGTGGGCAAATTGGCCCAAACCAGGTTCCTGAAAGGAGTGTAAGCATTTAAAGAGCTCGGCAAGTGCCCTGGGACACCCCGGTGGTCCTGTGTTAGCTCGAGTCCTTCCGTGCAGGCCTGACCTGCAGATGAGGCCACTCTCCGCTGCCCCGCGGTGGGGACTGCGTGGGGGGGGGGGCTCGGCCCAGAGCAGTTTCTGGACCGAGACAGAAGGGTTGGGCCTGAGGTGTGAGTAAGGAGGTGTGTTTTTATAAGAGTATTTGAGTTAAGGAAACGGGATTTCTGTTTATTTTCCAGTGGCTTTCGGTCTTGTTGCCTTTTTAGTTTTTAATTCTGGATGGACACGGGCCTTCTAAGGAGGGTGAAGTGGACGTCTCTGAGAATCCTCATTTCCCGCCTTGCTCTGACATCTGTCCTGCGCCTGGACTTGTGGGGGCCCCCAGGGCCTCCCCCCGGGGGCCCCCCACCTCCCCCCAGGTCCTCCTCCTGGTTCCCCCCCAGGACTCCCCCCCCCCAGGGCTCCCCTCCTGTGCTCTGGGCATCAGCCCCAGGCCTTTCTGCTCTGGGCCAGCCCAGATTCCATCTCTGTCGGGTCTAGCCTGCTCTCCCATCTCTCCCTGGCTGGTCAGAAAGCGTACATGTTTAGCAGTCTGCATTTAACTTAAAATACAATCTGTTTGGAACCATTTGGTTAAAACCCATAGATTAGGCATCCTGTTTTCCCAGTGTGCATGCCGCATTAGCGTGTGGTTGTGAGACCCTGTCTGCACGTCGATGAAATGACACTGCAGGTGGTGAGCTGTGAGCAAGCAGCCCAGCTCCAGCCCATGAGGTGGGTGGAGTGGACTCTAAGCGTTCACACGATTGCACAGGCGCTCTGACTCTTCCTGAGTGTGTGCAAGTCTCACCTGTGCTTATTGTCCTGAGAGTGACTGGCATTGACTTTTGGGTGGGTTGACCAAAGGTAGGATGCGTAGGTAGTTAATGCAGTTTTCATCTCCCTGTAGTGAGTGTTAAGTGAATTTCTATAACATGGCACCATCATTTTGTCAGTCGGATCAGCGTTCGAGTTCGTATCAGCCTGAGCGAAGACAAGATTTATCCGAGGGGTGACCTCACCTTTTAAATTCTTTATCACCATTTTGAAACCGACTGTTGAAGAATAAATAAGAGCAAAGGAGTCATGATGTTTATAGATTTTTTTTTTCACATATAAATGCATTTCTTCTTCTTTCACAGGGATCTTCGCTTTAACAGAATCAGGGAGATCCAACCTGGAGCCTTCCGGCGGCTGAGAAACTTGAACACACTGTAAGTCGGGGGAAAAAAAAGAAGTTTATTTGCTGTTTGCCCGTAAGTGGGTCTGTCAGCGGCGTGAGGGATGAGGGGGAAGGGGAGGAGGAAACGTGCACAGGGGCTGCTGTGGTTCTTGTTTGCACTTTTCTGCCTGCCCTCACCTGCCTGCCTCTGCCCACTCTTGCCGCTTTTCGCCCATCACTTCAGCCTATCTCTCAACCTTGTCACCCCTTTTTATGCCTTCTTATATCCTTGTCCCTGCCTCTTGCCTTTATACCTCTTACTCGTCGCTTCCGTCCTTACATCTCTTTGTCACCTCTCACCACGCTGTCACTCCACCACACATCTGCTGCTTCCTGCTTCTTGTCCCATTCACCTTTCCATCTCTGCCCACACCTGTTTTCCACTTGCTGCCACACACTTCTTGTCCCTTGCCCCTATCTCCTGTCCACTTTGCAGACTGGGTACTCTTACGCGTATATTGTCTAGTCCCCCTGTCCTCCATTTGTGTGTTTATATCTTCTGTTCTTTGCCTTTCCTGGGTCATGGCTGGCCTTTTGTGGTCCCGTCACTTTTTTTTCTTTTTGTTTTTTCTGCGTCGCGAGGTTGGGCAGGACTGTGCTTCTGAGCACAGCGTGGGAAATAAACTGCAGCCAGGGTTCATGTGTTTCGTGCAGTGACTCACTTGCCCAGTGCTCAGAGCCTGGGTCTGATGGTGCCAGGGTGGACTTAGCTTCTCCCTGTGGTCGCACTCCTGACCTCTGGGCTCTCTCCAGTTTTTATTTTGTGCGCCAGTGTTGGGCTTGGTTCTCTCTCCACTACCTGCCCGGCTTATTTATTTTGTGCCCAAGTGCAGTGCCAGGTTGTGTGTAGTGGGCGATCTAGCCACCTGTTTCCGCTTGTGCTACCTTGCAGCCATGCTGACCGCCTGCTTGTCAGGTTTTCGTGTCCTTGTCTTTGGTGTGTATGTGGACTTTTTTTATTGTGCTGTTTGGTCTCCAGGACCTTCACCTTTTTTCAGTGATCGGTGTCTAAGACATTATTTTTTCCTGCATTTTTTTTTTTCCACTTGTGGGCTCACGTTTGTGTCCAGATTTTTTTTTTTTTTTTTTTTTTTGTTGTCTGGTTTTTTTTTTGAGTATAGTGTCAGATGTTTTTCGCTTTTTGCACTCGTAGGAGAATATGAGTTGTTTTCTCTGTTGTGGATTATAAGGTGGATATATAACGTGGCTATTACATTGTCTTATTGTAGCATGTTTCCGTGTACCATCAGGGGCTGAACATGTGAGATCTTTTTTTTTTTTGATTTTTTAGCCGTGTTAGTGCAGCGTTTATGGAATGCCGACAGCGAACTCTGTAGCTTCACCTGTCTTAGCCTTGCTAAGCTCCGTAGCCCTTTGGAACCTTGTTCGTTTAGAAGATATGATTCTTTTCCGGTACTGTTCTATCTCGCTGTCTCCTCCAACAACTAACTCAGATCAGGTTATGATTCCCTTGCGGGGCTTTAGATGAGAATTTGAAATATTCTGTAATGTTTTGTATATCGACCATTCTTTTGTCTCATAAAGCTTATGTCTTGCTATTTTTTTTTCAGATTATTTAATCATTTGTAACTGAATTTCTGCTGTTTATTTGAATTACTCGTAATTAGTTTCTTTCTATGAGAGTCTTTTGTTTTTCAGAAGGTGAGTGGAAGTTTGGCTGAGTTCTTATGGGCTCTTCCATCGCTGTGAAGTGCTACGTTACTGTAAAAGTGACACGTTATTGTTTCCTATCATGTGTCTTTTACATTTTTGTTGATTACTAAATGTTATAATACTGAAATTATCATTTTGTGTTATTTTCTAGCTTTACTAAGTCTCTTCAGGAGGAGATGGTTCTGTGAAGTTAAAATGTGCACCATGTCAATGTGGGAGTAGTTTCATTACCATTTGCTCCAGCCGTTGGGTAGGTGACGATCTTTTCAGATTGTCTCAGCTTACTGGGCAGCTGGCTGTTGCTGTTGTAGTAGCTTATGGCTCCAGCCGTGGCAGTCCCAGGTTGTCCATTCCCAGTCAGGAGTATGTTTTGAACGCACATTCACTTTTACCCTTGTGCTGGATTTGTTCGCCATAGTTTCTCAGATTTTCTTGTCTTTCTTCATTTTCTATTTTTCTTTCGTATTTGTAGTTTTTCAATTTTTAATTTACTTTTAAAATTTATTTTAGTTTTATTTTAATTATTTTTAAACTCTGCTTATTGATTCTATTTTTTTATTTCTTAAAATGTTTTTTAGTTTTTATTTATTTATATTTTGTTTATACTTGCTTTTGTCGATAGTTCGGTTTTTTGTCAGTTTTTTGAAAATGAGTCTCCTTGAGAAACAGGGTGTTTCTGTCTCCACACGTGGTGTTGGTTTTCCAAATACTGAAGATTCATAATTACTCATTCTTGTCTCTAGATATTTTTTTGAGCAGATGTGTTCTATGCCTTTGGCCGTTACTTCTTATTTAGTTGTACTGCAGGATAACTTTTCTAGAAGAAGCCGTTTTTTAATATATGGATTCACATCAGTTTTTTTTAGTTTACTTTGTGGCGAATTTATGTTATTTATCAACTATCTTTTAAGATGTGTTGATTTTTTTTTTTTTTTTTTTTTTGGATAAGTCTCTGCTTTGTTGCCTGCAGTGCTATGAGTTGAGTGCCAGTTGGCGTGCAGTCCTATCTCACTAGCAAGCCTTCAAACTTCTCTGGCTTTTCCTATTATTCCTTCTGTCTCTCAGCCTTTCCCGGGTAGCTGGCTACTAGTGTCATTTTGCGCTCACCTTTTTTTTTTTTTTCATTGCCGCTATTATTTTTTCTTATTATATATATTTCAGTTTGGCCAATTATTTTTTCTTTCTTATTTATAGTAGAGTTACGCGGGTCTCTGCTTTGCTTCAGTGTCTGTTTTGAATCTCTCTGACCTTTTTGTATGCAATTTCCTGCCCGTCTCGTGCCATCCCATAGTGCTATGATTACACGGCGTTTGAGCTCTACCTTGCTGCTCTTTGTTTTTTGGTTTTCTCTTTTTTTTTTTTTTTTTAAGTCTTTCTAGTGTGTTTGCATATTCTGAAATCTGTTCTGATTTTAGCTGTATATCAGTGGTTCTGAATTACAGAGCTACCTTTAACTCTGTTTATTAAGATATGTTTTCCTCAGTGAAGATATTTGAAAGCATTATATATAAACACGTTTTCTCCATTATTTTTGGCATACTGTGCTAATTTTAAATTCTGTATGAACTTTACTAAGCCTGCTCCTGATTCTAAAAATGAGAGACAGGCCTGTTATTCTTTGAGTTTTTGTTTGTTTTTTTACCCTATTTTTTGGCATTTTAAGAACAGGGCAAATTCCAGAAGAAAGCTTTTTGTTTCCTGGAGAGTAGATTCAGTTGGCTGATAACCAGTGTGTGTGTGTGTGTTTGTGTGTGTGTGTGTGTGTATTTGTGTGTTTGTGTGGGTTTGTGTCTTATTTTATTTTTTTTGCTTTTGGCTCTGAATTACTAAGAGCAGTTTACTATATACTCTGAAGATATGTTCCACGTTAAGTAGTTTGGGATGTTCAGTTTTCACACGAGACATCTCTTTGCAGTCCAAGTGTCTCACTGCAACCTTCCTCCCCGCTCTGCCACCGTGACACTTCCGTGGTGCCTGGCAGTGGGAGGCACAGGTGGGGGACTCAGCAGGCCGGGCGCGGGGAGACGGGTCCTGACGCAGAGCCAGGCTGGAGACCCGGGTGGAAGCGTCTGTGCGGAGAGAGGCCTGGGTGACCCCTTGACCCAGCTGTCGGCCCTCCCAGCGCCTGCTCTGAAGTGCTCAGATGTCCCTGCTGGGGTACGTTTTGATGCACGCCGATGTAGGGAACTTTGTAATAGTATAATTCAGACACTTAGGAATTCTCCTGAAGTTTATCGATTGTTTGGCCTTGTATATTTAGTTAGTCGGTACCAAAGTATAATTTTAGAAAGTTGAGCAGTTCTTATTTCTTGGAACCCCAGTTAATTGATCCATATTTTCCTAACAATGAAATTATTTATTAATTATTGAGATAAAGGCCAGGTGCGGTGGCTCATAAAAATGTATTTTTTATTTATTAATGTTTAAACTTCTGCTTGTCGAAGTCGGTTTTGCAGTTTAGAAAATGAGTTCCCTGAGAAACAGGGGTGTTCTGTCCCACACGGGTGCTGGTTCCAAAACTGGAAAGATTCAGAATACTCATTCTTGCTCCTAGATAGAGCAAGATGTGTGTCATGCGCTTTGGGCCGGTTACTCTTACTTTTAGGACGCAGATAACTTTCCAAAGCAAGCCGTTTTTAATAAGGGATTCACATCAGTTTGTTATTACTGGCGGATTTATTAGTCATACAACATCTTTTAAGATGTGTTGATTTTTTTTTTGTTTTTTTTTGAGACAGAGTCTCGCTTTGTGCCCAGGCTAGAGTGAGTGCCGTGGCGTCAGCCTAGCTCACAGCAACCTCAAACTCCTGGGCTCCGAGTGATCCTTCTGCCTCAGCCTCTCCGGGTAGCTGGGACTACAGGCATGCGCACCATGCCCGGCTAATTTTTTCGTTATATATATATCAGTTGGCCAATTAATTTCTTTCCTATTTATAGTAGAGACGGGGGTCTCGCTCTTGCTCAGGCTGGTTTTGAACTCCTGACCTTGAGCAATCCGCCCGCCTCGGCCTCCCAAGAGCTAGGATTACAGGCGTGAGCCACGCCGCCCGGCCTTTTTTTTTTAAGTTTTCTAGTGTGTTTGCATATTTCTGAATCTGTTCTGATTTTAGCTGTATATCAGTGGTTCTGATTACAGAGCCTACCTTAACTCCGTCTTACGGCCTTTGCTAAGCTCCCGTAGCCCTTTGGAACCGTGTGTTTTAAATCCTTCCCGGTACTCTATCTCGCAGGCTCCTCAACAACAACCAGATCAGGAGGATTCCCGGCGGGGCCTTTGAGGACTTGGAGAATTTGAAATATCTGTAAGTTAACGACCAAAAGCTTATGTCGCTAATTTTCAGATTATTTAAATACAGAACGAAATGTCCTGCTGTTATGAATTACCGTAAATGTATCCTCTAGAGAGGCTTTGTTTTCAGAAGGTGAGTGGAAGTTTGGCTGAGTTTCTTTAAATGGGCTCTCATCGCTGTGAAGTGCTACGTTACTGTAAAGTGACACGTTATGCTACAGTGTGCTACATTTTGTGATACTAAATGTAAATACTGAAATACATTTTGGTATTCAGTTACTAAGCCTTCAGGAGGAGAGGTTCAGTGAAGTTAAAATGCACAGTCACTGTGGGAGTAGCAGCCATGCCTCCAGCCGTGGGAGGTGACGGCTTGTTCAGTGTCCAGCACGGGCAGCTGGCCTGTGCTGTGCAGAGCATGCTCCAGCGTGACAGTCCCCAGGGCCATCCCAGCTCGGGAGAGACGCAGAGTGCACATCACTCACCCCTGCGGATTGTCGCCAATTCCTGCAGATTTTCTCGTCTTCCTCCACTCTATTTTACTTCTTATTTTTTTGTAGTTCAATTTTATTTTACTTTAAAAAATTTATTTTAGTTTATTTATTAATGTTTAAACTTCTGCTTATTGATTCTTATTTTTATTATTTCACTTAAAAAATGATTTTATATTTATTAAGTTAACCTTTGCTTGTCGAAGTCGGTTTGCAGTTTAGAAAATGAGGTCCCTGAGAAACAGGGGTGTTCTGTCCCACACGGGTGCTGGTTCCAAAACTGGAAAGATTCAGAATACTCATTCTTGCTCCTAGATAGAGCAAGATGTGTGTCATGCGCTTTGGGCCGGTTACTCTTACTTTTAGGACGCAGATAACTTTCCAAAGCAAGCCGTTTTTAATAAGGGATTCACATCAGTTGTTATTACTGGCGATTTATGTCATAACAACATCTTTTAAGATGTTGTGATTTTTTTTTTTTTTTGAGACAGAGTCGCTTTGTTGCCCAGGCTAGATGTGAGTGGCCGTGGCGTCCAGCCTAGCTCACAGCAACCTCAAACTCCTGGGCTCCAGTGATCCTTCTGCCTCAGCTCCCGGGTAGCTGGGACTACAGGCATGCGCACCATGCCCGGCTAATTTTTCTATATATATATCAGTTGGCCAATTAATTTCTTCTATTTATAGTAGGACGGGTCTCGCTCTTGCTCAGGGCTGGTTTTGAACTCCTGACCTTGAGCAATCCGCCCGCCTCGGCCTCCCAAGAGCTAGGATTACAGGCGTGAGCCACCGCGCCCGGCCTTTTTTTTTAAGTCTTTCTAGTGTGTTTGCATATTCTGAAATCTGTTCTGATTTTAGCTGTATATCAGTGGTTCTGAATTACAGAGCTACCTTTAACTCTGTTTATTAAGATATGTTTTCCTCAGTGAAGATATTTGAAAGCATTATATATAACACGTTTTCTTCCATTATTTTTGGCATACTGTGCTAATTTTAAATTCTGTATGAACTTTACTAAGCCTGCTCTGATTCTAAAAATGAGAGACAGGCCTGTTATTCTTGGTTTTTTTTTGTTTGTTTTTACCCTATTTTTTGGCATTTTTAAGAACAGGGCAAATTCCAGAAGAAAGCTTTTGTTCCTGGAGTAGATTCAGTTGGCTGATAACCAGTGTGTGTGTTGGTGTGTTGTGTGTGGTGTGTTTGTATTGTGTGTGTGGGTTTGGTCTTTTTATTTTTTTGCTTTGGCCTCTGAATTACTAAGAGCAGTTTACTATAACTCTGAAGATATGTTCCATGTTAAGTAGTTTGGGAGATGTTCAGTTTTCACACGAGACATTCTCTTTGCAGTCCAAGTGTCTCACTACAACCTTCCTCCCCGCTCTGCCACCGTGACACTTCCGTGGTGCCTGGCGAGTGGGAGGCACGGGGGACTCAGCAGCCGGTGCGGAGACGGTAGCCTGACGGCAAAGACCAGGCTGGATGACGGGAGCGTCGGCGGAAGACCGGTACCCTCGACCGCGCCCCCCCCCCCTTGCTCTGAGTGCTCAGATGTCCCTGCTGGGGTACGTTTTGATGCAGCCGATGTAGGGAACTTTGTAATATATAATTCAGACCATCTAGTCGAAGTTATCGTATATTAGTTAGTCGCCTAAATTAGAAGTAAAGAATGAGCAGTTCTATTTCTTGGAACCAGTTAATATGATCCATATTTTCTAACAATGAATTTATTATTAATTATTGAGATAAAGGCCAGGTGCGGTGGCTCACGCCTGTAATCCTAGCACTCTGGGAGGCGGAGGTGGGAGGATCGCTCAAGGTCAGGAGTTCGAAACCAGCCTAAGCAAGAGCGAGACCTTGTTTCTACTAAAAATAGAAAGAAATTAATTGACCAACTAAAAATATATGGAAAAAATTAGCCTGGCTATGGTGGCACATGCCTGTAGTCCTAGCTACTCAGTAGGCTGAGGCAGGAGGATCGCTTGAGCCCAGGAGTTGGAGGTTGCTGTGAGCTAGGCTGACGCCATGGTACTCTAGCCTGGGCAACAGAGTGAGACTGTCTCAAAAAAAAAAAATTATTGCGATATAATCGATACTCAAAGGTTATTTTTCTATTAGAAGATGATTAATAGCCAGCTATTCTTATAAAAACAAAGTATGTTCCAATGTCTTTATAAACATACATTCAGACATATTAATTTCACTCAGTTGTTTTATGTATTCTTTAAAAAGATCCCTTTAATTTTTTTTTTTTTTTTTGAGACAGAGTCTCATTCTGTCACCTGGGCTAGAGTGCTGTGGCATCAGCCTCGCTCACAGCAACCTCAGACTCCTGGGCTCATGCGATCCTCCTGCCTCAGCCTCTCAAGTAGCTGGGACTACAGGCATGCACCACAATGCCTGGCTAAATTTTTCTATATGTTTTTTAGTTGTCCAGGTAATTTCTTTCTATTTTTAGTAGAGACAGGGTCTCGCTCTTGCTGAGGCTGGTCTCAAACTCATGACCTCAAATGATCCACCTGCCTTTGCCTCCCAGAGTGCTAGGATTACAGGTGTGAGCCACTGCACCTGGTCTACTCTAATTTTTTAAAAGTGCATGCAAAGCGATGTTCACTTTGATGTTTTGGTTCTGTTTTGTTAAGAAATGAGGACAAAACCATTGGGACTTGCCTTCTTAGAGGTGATAGTAGCTGTCACCTGAGTGGCAGTCACTGCTCACCAGGCTGTATTCCGAGAGCTTTTTACAGATTTATTTTGCAGAGAAGAATCTGGGCGCAGTAAGGTTGATATCTTATTCAAGGTCATAGAGGCAGGAAGTGGCGGTTCAAGGATTCAAACCCATGCAGCGGCAGAAGGAACCCCCTGCCAGGCCTCTGCTGTGGGCCACTGGGCTGCAGACTGCCGGGGTCCTGGTCGGTCCGTGTGGAGGCGTGTGATCTTCACGAGGTCCCCTCAGCAAATCTGCACGGAGGGAAGACGTGAGATCCCTTAGATGAATTGTAAGAACTAAAGGAAGCAGAGCAGGTCCTATTAGACTATTTCATGCATTAAACGTTATTAATTAACATACAGTAAAACACTTTGCTCTTGCGTAAGTGACGTAGGCAATATTACAAGCATGAAGACAAAGCATACTGTCTGTTTAGCGGACTAGGTAGGTAAAACCCAGCCACTGAGTGATCAGTTGGAAGAGAAGTTTCTGCCTGAAGTGAGTGCAGGGAAGTGTGGACTCTGACTTACCTGCCCACCTGCGTCAGAGACGAAGCCAGGTGGACCCCTTAGCAGGGCCGGGGCCGGCATCTCTGCATGGGTCAGATGCCACCTCTGGCCCACGGCGTCGCGGGGGCCCCAGAGACCCACTGCCGTAGAGCCGTGTTTCCGAGACAGCCGGCTGAACTCAAGCCGTGTCCGAGATTCGTGGACCCCCTTGCACAACTCGGTGGCTGTGTTGGAAGAGCGATATTTTTGTTCATCCTCGATCATTTTAGGCTTTTTCTTTAAAGGACCAGGCAGGGCACATCTGCGGTTCTGCAGCCGTGCGGTCTCTGCCCTGACCCCTCAGCTCTGACCCGGCACAGACGTGGTGCAGACCGTACCTAAAGCAGTGGGTGTGGTCATGTGGGCGTGGCCCCGCACAACATTCGTGCACACCAAAATTTCAGTTGCATATACTTTTCGTGTGTCACAGAATAGGGTCCCTCCTTTGAAATTTTTAACCATTAAAAATGTAAAGACCTTGCTGAGCTTGCAAACTGTACAAAATCAGGTGGGGCGGGCCCATTACGTGGCTCTTCTGGTATGCGTTTGTTCCTGCGGTTCTCTGAGGAGGGGACTCGGGGTGGTGAGTAATCAGGACATGCTCAGCCTCATGTCCTCTGCCCACGAAGCCCCCTGGGTATCGTAGAACTGCGTCAGCATCAGGCACAGAATCTCAGAACCAATGCAGAATGCACGCCACGTCTGTGGGGAAGTGGTTTTCTTCAGGCGTTGAGGCAAGTGTGCTGTCAGCAATTATCGGCCATAGTCCACGAGTCTGAATTCCCTGATGGCACACAGCGCCGGTACAGCCACCTCTGGTTGGGACCCATGGCTTGGAGCCACGTGAGACAGACGGGAAGGGCAGCCCTGCCCGACTGCGGAAAGTTTGTTTGCATCCTAGAACAACCTGAAGTTTAAGAACGGTCCCCACGTGCAGGGTTAGCCCTTCTTCTCCGTGTGAAGCCGTGACCTCTCGTTTGTGTGCTAACGCTCCCCTGTTTCTTGTTTCAGCTATTTGTACAAGAATGAGATCCAGTCAATTGACAGGCAAGCGTTTCAGGGACTTGCCTCCTTAGAGCAACTGTAAGTGCCCCCCCTCGCGCTTCCGTCCTCGCCGCGCCGCCTCTCCGTGGGGAGCAGTGGACCGAGTTGGCCGTTTGCATGATGCATGTGTGCGCTAGCGGGTGCAGGGAGCAGGTGCATGACCCAGGACAGCACCCGTGGGCCGGGGGCTCCCCGTCTCCCGCCTCTCATCGGGCCGCCCACCATGCACCTGGGCAGACACCTGCGGGGTCTCCTCCAGGCAGCGCCAGGCCTGCGCCTGGATCATGGGACCCAGAGCAATAAGATCCATCCAGCGACTCCTGGTCGCAGTGTGAGGGGGGCAGACGTGCAAACAAGCTGAGCAAGTCACTTTCCTGGCGGAAGCACCCAGGGCACCCCGGGACAGGCAGGCTGTTGCATCCTGCACTATTTCCTGTCTGCGACCAAGCACGTGCAGTTTGCTTTCCTCGATTGCAATGTCGTTATTCTGGAGAAAACAACCACCTCTTATCCCGTGCAGTTCCAGTGGGTGTGTGCCGTGTGTAACTGGGTGTGCCTGTTCCTTTGGCCACATGTGACGTGGTCCTTTGCTGTGAGGTCGGACGTCAGTTTTTCAGTACGGAATCCCAGAAAGGGGCTTTTCTTGGTCTGTCTGCTCGGCCGGTCACGTTTCTCTCTGCAAGACGGTCCAGTTCCCCAGCAGGGAGCTTCAGGTTGTCACACGGTGTGGGGACACGGATGGAAACGGCTGTTGGCTGTGATGCAGCGTGGCAAGCCTTTGCCACAGCTGTGTGTGTTTTCCTGTTTCCTCGGTTCACCGGACACCGAGCTATCTTCTGAGGATGCATGGCAGAGCCGCTAGCGGGCGTGCCCCGGATCTGTGTGCTGGGGGGCCAGGTGCCCCCTCCCGTCCTGCACGTGTGTGTGCATTTGCTCAAGGGAGCGAGGCTTTCTGTGCCCGCCGTGCAGGGCACGGATGTCTGGGAAGACGTTGTCTGTCAGTGCTGTGTAGTCTCTGCTTCCCAGAGAACGGAACAGGAAGCGTTCAGAGCCACCTGCAGACACCTGGCGCAGGGAGTCCTCAGAGGAAGGAGCAAGTTCTTGCTCACGGGATGTTTTACGCAGTGGGGGAAATGCCATCGTGGCCGCAGACAGCCCTAGGGTCCTCCCTGAGGCCGGCGGTGCCACCTGGCTTCCCGCAGAGGTGAGCCGAGCGTTGTCTTTGAGGAAGAAAGGGGCCAAGTCCCAGGAGGAGCGGCGACTGGCGTCTGCGAATGGGCGAGTGGATTTTCTGCCCAGCAGTTCTGGTGGCTGCAGAGTGCCGGGGTCAGGCAGGCTGCTCCTACTTACCCAGGGCTAGGCGAGTCAGCGCCTCTGCTGCCAGGCTTTGGTTTCATTCTGTGAACGTCCGGTGCACCCAGGCGGCCGGGCCCCGCTCTGGGGAGGGCGCAGTCTAGGAAGGAGTTGCCGTGTCCACCACGAGCGCCCGTCACATGCCCACCCATGTCTGCAAAGCTCGGTGTGTCTGGGGAGGGCGGCCCTTGCTGGATCTCTGCCAACTCCACCCCTCTCCCAGGGGACCCGGAGACCTGCCTCCTGGGCAGCCCGGGGCCTGCTGAGCAAACTCCGGTCCACAAAGGCTCCCATCAGAAGAGTCAGGGGATGTGGATTTGAATTCATCCATGGCCTCAGTGTACGTGGGGAGGTCCTCTGTCTTAGGTCCTCGGTTTCCTCAGCTGTTCAGGGAGGGCAGGTGACACCCAGGCAGCCAGGAGCCCCAGCCTCTCTGGGACCCTGCAGAGCCCTGGCGGTGACTTTCCTGGTGCCTTTCGAGGCAGATGCCCCATTCGGAGCCCAGCCCCTTCCTGGCCAGCTGTGCCATGCATGCATCTAGGTGGAGGCTTTTCAGAGGAGCTGCTCTGAGCTGGGGCCTGTGGACCTGCTTTTCTTAATCTGGTTGGCTTCGCTCCTCCCTCCCGCTTTGCTTGGAGCTCGTCTCAGGGGGCCGTAGGCACCCTGAGACTCAGAGACGCACCAGAGCGTCGCCCCAGGAGCTGGCCAGGGCAGGATGGGCCGCCAGCAGGGGAACCTCGGTGCCCCGGCGGTGACAGCAACCTGGAAAGGTGAATAGAAGTGGTCGCTGGGCAGGAGGTCTGAAAACACTCGCTTTCGTTTCGATTCATGGTAAAGACGGGAAACTGCGGTGCCGGTTCTGTCCCTGCCGTTGCTCTCTAGACGTGGTCCTTGGAAACGGGCGCTGACACGGCGGGGTCCTTCCTGGAGACCCCCCTCTTGCTGCGGCAGGGGGCCCCCAGAGAAGCCCACTTAGAAGGGCGACTTCTGCTGACTTGAGAGGAAAAGACACCCCACTTCACAAAGCGAGAACATTTGCTGTCAGGAAAATCAGAAAAACGAGTCACACCAAGGATGTGTAAATTTGGTGGACAGAAGGACACACTCACGTGGAAAGGAGTAGGAACCCAAGGGACCCTCCTCGAGACAGGGCGTCTTTCCTATATTAACCCAGTGCTTTCTAAAAGTCGTTTCTGTAGCCGTCTGTGTCCGACAGCACGCTCAGAGTCGGGATGAAATGCACGTCATCCCGGCCACGTCTGTACGTGCAGGCTAACGGGTTTGAGGGCAGGTGCGCTGTCAGTGAGAGCCGCGTGTTGGCATTTCGAGAGCGGAGGCAGCAGGACTGGGCGCGGCCACTCGCGTCCTGTTCGCTTGTTCCCAGTGTGGGGAATCTAGGGCGTCACCTGTTGATGTATGAAATTGAAATGACTTAATAAGCACGTTTCTGAGCAAGCTGAAGCTGAAAAGGGAAATGAAAGTGTTTAAATCGTGTTCTTCCCCTTCTTCTCCATTCTGTAGGTACCTGCACTTCAATCAGATAGAGACCTTGGACCCCGAGTCGTTTCAGCATCTGCCGAAGCTCGAAAGGCTGTGAGTTGCATTTCCTTCCCTGATTCTTCATTTCGGCCTCAGTCTGTGGTCACTAATTTGGTAGAGTCAAGGTCAATGTCTATTAAATGCCTGGAAGCAGGTGCAGACTCTGCATGCCTCATCTGCCAATTCAGAAGTGGGGTTTATAATTTTGTTTTTATTTGGGAACGGTGAGAAAATAGGGGACAGTCCAGTTTTTTTCCTGGACTAAACACTATTCTTAAATTCATTTCTATTAAATAAATGTCATCACTGAGATTTTTTTGGAAGGTGACATACTTGTTATATTGTTTTCTACACATTTAAAAAACTTATGATAGGCCGGGCGCAGTGGCTCATGCTTGTAATCCCAGCACTCTGGGAGGCCGAGGCGGGAGGATCACTCAAGGTCAGGAGTTCGAAACCAGCCTGAGCGAGAGTGAGACCCCGTCTCTGCTAAAAATAGAAAGAAATTAGCTGGACAACTAAAAATATATAGAAAAAATTAGCCGGGTATGGTGGCGCATGCTTGTAGTCCTAGCTACTCGGGAGGCTGAGACAGGAGGATCGCTGGAGCCCAGGAGTTTGAGGTTGCTGTGAGCCAGGCTGACACCACAGTATTCTAGCCCGGGCAACAGAGTGAGACTCTGTCTAAAAATAAATTAATTAATTAATTAAAAACATAAAAAACTTACGACAACACAATGTTATATTACGATGATATCTCTTCCACAGATTCTTACACAACAACCGGATCACACATCTAGTTCCAGGGACGTTCAGCCACCTAGAATCTATGAAGAGACTGTGAGTATGCGGCTCTGTGTTGCCTTCGTACAAAACTGCATTGTTCCTGTTTTCCATCCCCTGCCCCCGTTTAACACTGGGGATGTGCTTCACGAACGTGCACGCGTGTGGGTGTGCAGGGGACGGCAGGGGGCTCAGGGGACGGCAGGGGGCTCAGGAAAGTGGCGGAGAGTTGACCCCATGATGGGCCCATGAGACATTCTTAGGAATCATCTTTAAATTCTTCACATTGAGTTTCGGTTCTGTGCACGTGTCACTGTTGAAAATAAAACCAGTTGGCAAAGAATCTCTTTACCGTGCCCATCCCTTTCACCTGGGCGTAGCCGGAGCCCCAGCACCCGGCCCCGACGCTGCCCATGCCCGCCAGGGGAGGGCAGACCCGTCACGGGGCCAGTTCCCTGCCCTTGTCCCCGCCAGGCTGACGTCCTGGGGAACACAGATGGGAGGCATGACCGTCATCGGGCCTTGTGAGTGTGAACTGGGCCAGTGTGAACTGGGCTGGTGTGAATTTGGCTGGTGTGAACTGGTCCGATGTGAACTGGACCTGTGTGAACTGGGCTGGTGTGAACTTAGCCAGTGTGAACTGGACCAGTGTGAACTGGGCTAGTGTGAACCAGGCCGGTGTGAACTGGTCTGATGTGAACTGGACCTGTGTGAACTGGGCTGGTGTGAACTTAGCCAGTGTGAACTGGACCAGTGTGAATTTGGCTAGTGTGAACTTAGTGTGAACTGGGCCAGTTTGAACTTGGCTGGTGTGAACTTAGCCAGTGTGAATTTGGCTAGTGTGAACTTAGCCAGTGTGAACTTAGCAAGGGTCTCACCCACCACCCCAAAGCTCTGTGATCCGGGTGAGGCCCGGCCCCAGGCCCCGCAGGTAGCAGCCACAGTATGGCTCCCAGGGTGTGGCCATGAGCCCCTGCCAGCCTCCAGTGCTCCTGCCAAGGGCCCTCCCCCCTCGTGCGGAAGCTGAGATCTTCCCCAGGGCACACGGGGTCCAGCTGTGTCCCCTCCTTAGGACCAGGCATGTCGGGTGCCCAGGACGCTCTTGCCAGCGGCTCCCCAGGACGGCTGGGACCCTGCGGGGCTCAGGGGTCAGCCCCGGCTGGAGGAGGTCCCAGGACAGAGGGAGGCAGCACCTGGTGCTAAATGCCCAGGCTCCACAAGAGCGAGTAACCCCTGCGGGTCACCCCTGCGGGTCACCGCTGTGGTTATTATTGAGGGGCTGATTTCTGTGAACGTCCCCCCACCACCTCTCTCCTTCTGGAACTTTCCCCACTCGAGCAGGGGTTGGGACTGGACATGGCAGCGTCTGTCTGCTGGTTCGTCCTGCCCCGCCTGCACCTTGTCGATGGCCCCCGCCTGCACCTCTCGCGGGCCCTTCCTGGCGGCGGGCGTCTCTGCCTCGCCCCGCAGTCCCTTGGGATGGGCCTGAGATCCAGTCGCTGCCGCGTGCCGGCATGTCCCACGCGGCGTGTGCACCAGCCCTGGCGGCCCGTCTGGGTGGAGGGACAGGCGGACGCCCTCGTCCCCTGCTCCTGCACACCGGCCAACTCCGCCTCCTACAGACGGCTGGACTCGAACGCGCTGCGCTGCGACTGCGAGATCCTGTGGCTGGCCGACCTGCTCAAGACCTACGCGCAGTCCGGGAACGCGCAGGCCGCCGCCACCTGCGAGTACCCCAGGCGCATCCAGGGGCGGTCCGTGGCCACCGTCACGCCGGAAGAGCTGGACTGTGGTGAGTGGGCCCGGCTCCCGCAAGCTGGGGGTCCCCTCGGGGCTGGGGTGCCGGGAGGTCGGTGGCCGCACCGTGGTCGGGAGCCTCTGGGAGCCCCGCCAGAGCCCTGAGGCCCCACGGGGTCTCCGCCGCGGCCGCCGCGGTCCCTGTGAGCTGGCGCGTCCCGGCGGGTTCCTAAGAACCCAGCTCACCGCGTCGCAGCGGAGTTGCCGAGGTTGGCGACTCGGTCCGCGGCCCCCTTGAACTTACCGAGCTGTTTTCCACGTGCCGTGCTGTCCTCCCACGCAGGGCTCACCTGGCGGGTTTGAGGGATTCAGACTTGCGCAACCTCGGTAATGAGGAGGTGGCGCCGGTTGTGTTTTCCTGACAGTTGTGGGGGTGCGGGGATTTAGGGAATGTCATGATGAGGCGTGTGCTCCGTAAAGTTGTCCCTGGCAGTCCGGGGGTGGGGACAGTGAGAGCCCCATGAGGGCAGGAGGAGCTGACGCCGAGCTGCTGGGGGCACAGAGAGGGGCACAGCGCAGGGATTTGGGGACTCGATCCCAGAGCCGCCCCGTCGGCGGAGCCCAACCTTGACTGGAGGGTCTGTCCTGTGGCCCCTGGCTGGGACCCGCGGTGCTGGCACAGCAAGCGAGACGACAGGCGTGGCGCTCAGGCGTGCACGCGGGACACGGACCAGCACTTTGAGGAACCAGGCAGAGAGGGGAGCAGGCGGCCCCTGCTTGTGCACATGGCGGCGGCGGCTCCCACGCAGGCCTGGCGCCCCGGGTTCTTGGCACCCAGGTGGAGGCGCTGGCTGGCGGGGGCAGGGAGAGCAGCCCCTCCCACCTCCCCAGGGCAGAGGGGGAGGGGACACTGGTGGGGCAGGCGGCAGCCACCGCGCCAGCTTTGGTGCCCAGCGCCTGATGGTGTTGGGGAGATTTGTTCTTCCCGGGTCTCTTTAGCTAAGAAGTGTCATCTTGTTCTTTTATTCACGGAAACAGTGGTTTGTGGAGTGTCGCTCCGCGCACTTCTTTCCGTCCTTGACGTGTCCTGAGCGGCCGCTCGCTGGCTGCTGTCCGCGCCGGGTCCTCCGCGCCGCGTCTCCGAGCTGTCCGCGCTGCGGGCGTCTCTGCGGAGAAGCCGCGGCCGCTCCCGTGGGGGATTCCGTGGCGGAGCGTGTGCTTGGGCCTCGCGGTTTGCTCTTGGACATGCGGGACTTGCTTGGGTCTTTGTCTAATTCCACCTCGTGGTTCTGGACTGAGGAAGGTTCTGTCTCCCTGTCGGGCACAGAAAGGCCCCGGATCACGTCCGAGCCCCAGGACGCAGACGTCACCTCGGGGAACACGGTCTACTTCACCTGCAGAGCCGAGGGCAACCCCAAGCCCGAGATCATCTGGCTGCGAAACAAGTAAGTCGGGTCGAGTGGAAATGTCCCTCGGAGTCGCGCCGGGCGCCGGGGAAGGCGGGAGGCAGGGCACGGGCACCTTTTCTGGTCCTAGTGGCAGACGGAGAGGTCTCGAGGCCGGGCCCCAGGGGAATCCCCGGCTCACGCCGCCTTCCTCGGCGGCCTTGGGTCTGCAGCGCCGCGGCAGGTGCTGCCTGGCAGCTGGTCACTCCCCTCCCTGCCGGTTCTGCCCCACCCGGCCGTGTCCCGTCCCGGTGACCGCAGACGACTTGCTCGGGCCGCAGGACTCTGGCTCTGGCCCTTGGCGGCAGCAGGCTGCGCCCCGGGGCGCTGCGAGCAGACCTGAGGAGGTGGGGAGGGGCCTGACCTCTGCTGGGGATGGTGTCCTTGGAGGGGACTTGCGGGGCAGGTCGCTGGGGGCTCCAGGGTCCCGTCGCCGAGCGCCATCCGCGGTGAAGTGCAGCGCTTCGGAGCCCTGAGGTTAAACCGCCCGACGGCGGCGCCTCCAGTGCGCAGGCGCGCACGATGGGCTGCGCCCACGGATGGAGATGTTCCCGGTGCGTCAGGGTCTGGCGTCTCCGCGCTGCGCTCTGGCTGCGTTTGGCCTTGAGGGAGGAGGGAGCCGCTCCGGAGGTCACAGCCCAGGGGTGCACGGGGCCAGACGGTCCGTCCTGACTGAGTCGTGGTCCCTGCAGACGGGGTCGGACCCCCGCAGCAGACGAGGCTTTGCCCTGGCGGCGCCGTGTGAGACAGAGCGGGCGCCCCAGGGCGGTGGGGCGTGGGATCATGTGCTCACACTCAGGAAAACTCAGAGCCTCCGCCTCCGGGAGCGCCAGCGTTGGCAGGATTTGAAATCCAGAGTAGAGCGCCCCAGGGATTCGGAGATGTGCGTTTGAAGGCAGGGGAGCGTGGACCGGGTGCAGATCCTTCACGCTACATTTATAAATCAAAGAATGGATGCTAAAAGTTAAAATCTCACAGACAAATAGGAGAGAGCCAGAGCCAAAGCCCTGGGCCTGGGGCTGGGCCCTGCCGCGCACCCACCCCGTCTGGGCTGGCACCTCACCTGCTGGCCGGCATCACCTGCCCACCTGCCTCACCTGTGGCCCACTGTGTTCCTGGAAGGGGGGTGGGCCACGTCAGAAAAGTCCCGTTTGTGGGTCGGGGGCTGACTGTAGCATCCGTCCAGCTGTATCTCAGCCCTTCCCCGGGACGTGAGGATGGACTTCACTCCGGGCAGATCCGTGCCAGGCAGGGGAGAGCGTGAGGAAGGTGTGTGGGGAGAGGACAGGTGCGGGTCACGTGTGAGAGCGTCTTAGGTGTTTGGGAGCACCCTGCAGGTTTCCTGAGCGTTGTCTCGGGAAATGCTTTCAGACGATGCTGGTGCTGTTCCCTCTGCACAAGTAACACATATCCCAGCTCCGGCCTTGGGGACGCAGGCAGAGCCATGCCCGGCACTGAAGGTGTTTAGCCCCTGAGCTAAGGTGCAGACCCATCATGCCAGAGGTCCTTGTCTGCCTCATGGTCTGGGTCTCCCCCGGTTCCCAGAGGCTCACACCTGGCTTTCGCCCTCTGTCGTCACCTTTGCCTGCTCTGTGACCTCGGCAATGTCAGAGCCCACCTGCCTCCTCCCCACCTGCCTCTGAGCAGACAAGCCAGAGCAGAGTCACAGGTGGGGGGCCTGGCGGGGGCGAGCGCAGGGTGTCGCCGCTGTTCCGGGCCATGCGAGGGGCCATCGTTCCTGGGGGCCAACCGAGTCACACAGAGGATAAAGAGACCAGTGTCCTGCGCTGTCCCTGTGCCCACAATGGGCTCCGTGGACTCCGGGTATTTCCCGGGAGGGAAGCCACCCGCAGCTTGTAGGCATCACTTTTTAAGAGATTGACAGATACAGTTTTTGCTCTTAGCAATGTGAAGATATATTTTCCCCCCTACTTGTTTCCTTTGAATTTTTCCCACGGCGTCCGTTTCTCCCCCTTTGGAATTGGGGCCACTTTAGCACGCCGAGGTAGCTTGGACGTGCGAGTGACAGAAGGAAACGTGTGTGAGCTGGAGACGCACGTGTGTGCGTGACCACCTGTCAGAAACGCCTGTTGCTCTTGGGAAAGGGGCTTCCTGGGGGGCGGGTGTCACGGCTGCGCCTGGCACGTGCGCACCTGCTCTCCCTGCTGGATGAAGCTGTCCTCAGGTGGACGCGGCCTTTCCTCGGGCTTGGAACTCCTGAGTGAGCCGGTTCTGTCTCTGCAGCAACGAGCTGAGCATGACGACAGATTCCCGCTTGAACCTGCTGGACGACGGAACCCTCATGATCCAGAACACGCAGGAGACCGACCAGGGCATCTACCAGTGCATGGCGAAGAACGTGGCCGGGGAGGTGAAGACGCAGGAGGTGACCCTCAGGTACTTTGGGTCTCCAGGTACGTGAGCAGTTCCTCGAGGCTTCCCTCCGGAGTTGTTGTCCCTCCCCATCACCTCCGTCCCTTCCTTGTAGCCCACCATGGTAAAATAAGAACAGAGTTGCCCCAGGAGGCCCAGGGTCTGGGAGATTCGTGGGTGTTGCTGTGGTCTGCAGCCAGCCACTAACCTGCGACCCGGTCAGGGCTGCTGTGCGGCGAGCCTGGCTATCCAGAGGGGCCTTGGGGACCTGCAAGACTGCGCCAGGCCCATCCGAGATGCCATGGCACAGGAGCAGCCCATCCTCACCATTCATAGTGCAGTCTCTGTTTTGCCAAGGGCTCTGATCATTGAAAAGAAGCCCCCCAAAATGTAGATTGTTATGCACAATTTCCATGCTTAAAATATTGGCACCTAATTTAAAAAATTTAAAAGATTGTCCTAGCCACATCCAGCACAGCTGTTCTCTGATGCAGCTGGGTCTTGCTAGGCTGCAAGCTTTGCTCTGGTCCCTGTGTTTCATCCACGGCCCGTGGTTCAGGAGAGGACCCGGGGCTTTGGGGAAGAGCGCAGCAGAGGGGGCTGTGCCCACCGCCTCCTGGGAGAGCAGTGCGGCGGCTCAGGTGCGCCTGCCCACCCACCGGGCGGAGGGCCGGAGCGGGAGCCCCATCCAGAGCGATCAACATATCATTCCGGGGCTGTTTCCCTGGAACTTTGCATTTGGGGCGGTCATAGTTGTAAAACCTGTCAGCAGCAGCATAAGCGGCCCCACGTTTGTTTCCCTATTTAGATTCCCAACTCCTTAAAAACCAGTGTGACCCTTGCATCACTTGTCACTAGGTACGTTCCTGCATAGGTACAGGGAATGTTACGGATGAGTGAGGTTTCCTGGCTACCAAATTTAGTTCAAAGGGAAACAAAAGGAACAGGTCCTTGCCAAATCAAAGCCATAAGTCAAGCGGATCTTGGCAAGGTTAGCATGAGGCACGCAGCATCCTTCCCAAGTCGGAGTGTGTGAACCTGTGCAAAGAAGAGGGGACATGGCTGATGTCCAGGAGGAGCACATGCTCCAACTGTGCAGAATGAAACGAGCCCACAGGACGGGTGAAGTTGCATGTTAACGAGGCCATACGTACAAGTTAGAGCTGCAGTCCCCAGCCCTTGGGCTGCACCGGTACTTGTTAGGAACCAGCTGCACATCACTGCCTCAGCTCCCACCCTACTCCCGGTCCGTGGAAGAATTGTTTTCCAGGAAACCAGTCCATAGTGCCAAAAAGGTTGGGGGTGGCAGCATTATAGAACAAAGGAGACTGATAATAGATTGTGAAAAATGAACTTGTTTAGGAGAGCTGCTATGTTAAATCATTATTGGACAGGAATAGCTGGCCAGATGTTTAGGGCCTGAAAGCTCCAAATTTAACTCCTGGATCTGAATTTTTGTGTCTTCCTCAAGAACAATAGGCTTCCTTGATACACTAGTCTGAGCATGTTGGTGTAGCTCACCACAGCATAAGGGAGGCTCTCCCACTACCTGGTGCACGGGGAAGGTCTCCCACTACCTGGTGCACGGGGAGGGTCTCTCACTACCTGGTGTACGGGGAGGTTCTCCCACTATCTGGTGCAAGGGGAGGGTCTTCCACTACCTGGTGTACGGAGAGGGTCTCCCACTACCTGGTGCAAGGGGAGGCTCTCCCACTACCTGGTGCAAGGGGAGGGTCTCCCACTATCTAGTGCACAGGGAGGGTCTCCCACTATCTGGTGTATGGGGAAGGTCTCCAACTATCACCAAGGAATGGTGATAATGGGAGACTGGGGCTGGCACCCTGTACCCTCTGGCCACATCTGGGTCTATGAACTAAGGACATCTTTTTAAATTTTTAAATGATTAAAACTCTTAAAAAAGGAATAATATTTCACAACACAGGAGAGCTACATAACGTTGAAATTTCAGTGTCTGTAAATTAAATTTCACTGGAACATGACCACACTCACTCTTCGGCATACTGTCTGTGCTGCTTTTATGCTGCTGTGGCCGAGCTGAGGAGTGGCAGCAAGACTGCACGGCCTTCAGAGCTGAGAACATGTGTTATCTATCTAGCCTTTGCGGGAAAAGTTGCCAATCCCTGTCTCAGAGCATGGTAGTAATCTGTTGTCATAGTAATAGAGTGACTTGTAAGTAGCTTGGCTATAAAAGGCTAAATTATACTCACCAGCTGTCTGTCTGTCTATGTCAAAGCTCTGTTATTAGGGGTACAAAGGTTTCCAATTTTTGTCTTCCTGGTGGATTAGATTTTTGATCATTAACACTTCCATTTCTGTCCGTGCTGGATTTTAAAAAAATTCAGACTGACAATTTGTTAAAGTGAGTCCATTTATACTGATTGTAGGTAGCAATCTTATTTTGAAGTATTTGTCCCAGTTTTTCTGTGTTTCTTGCTTTGTTCTGAAGTGATTACTTTCATCTCTCACTTCCCACTCCTAGTTTGGAGATTACATACTCTACGTCTGTTCTTCTAGGAGTTGTCCTAGGAAATTTAAATGTCTTCTCACATTGCCACAGTCTAAGTTGCTATGACCTGCCCTCCCACGTGCAGTCTGCCCTCCTAGTCATGTGCTGAGTTCTGGTTTTTACCTGTGACGTTGTGGCTGCTGCCTCCTTTCCGTGTGATCCGCACGGTCCGTGTGGCTCTCATGCCCTCGGCTCTTTCTGTGTCATCGTAGCTCCCTGTCGGTGACTTCCCCACTGCCTCCTGCAGGGGATCACCCTGCACACCGTGCGAGTGTGGCCCGTGTTGAAATTTAAATGAGACTCATCTCTCCCTCTGCCCGGCAGTTTCTTGGGCGAGGTGGGCAGGTGTGACTTTCTCTCCAGTTCTTTTTCTCACCGAGCATATTGGGCGCCCAGCTGCCCTGTTTGAGCCCCTCCCTGGCCTGTCCCGTCTTTCTCTTGTGTGTCCCTGAGGCTCCTTAAAGCCAAATTTCAATCGCAAAGTTCTGCAGACGACTTTGGTGTTTCTCCCATGCCTGCATAGCGCGGGTTTCCACGTTGCCGTTCTGGCAGCGACGCCAGTACTAAGTGTTACTTCTGTATTTTTATAATTTGTTGTTGCTTAGACACCTGATCAATGCAGCCCAAATGTTAACAAATGCAAGAGGGCAGAAGGTCTCCCTCCACCTCCCTCGCTGCCCCACCTGAGTCCTCCTCTGTCCCCAGCCCCGGGACACCTGGCCAGTCTCTCCATCCTCTCGCAGAAACTCAGGCTGGGCCAGCAGGGGGTTCTCTTACCTGCCAGGTCTTAGAATCTTCCCGCTCTGTCACTTCAGGACGTGAGGCGTTGTCCTCCGCTTTTCTGTTCTGTAGCTGCACAGAGCTCCGTTTGTCCAGACGTACCACAATTTATAACATATAACAAGTTCCCACTGGCAGCACCTTCAGATTTCTCCCAAACCTTTACCTATCACGGGTCCACATGCTGTCTTCAAAAGCCTCTGGGGGAGATGTTGTTTGGAATTCAGGAACTTGGGAAATTTTTTAGGAGGTAACGTGACGCGTAATCCCCGTGACAGCTGTCACGTCTGCACCTGTAGTCAGGGCGCCAGCGTCCTCTGGCAAGTGACAGTGTCCGCGGCGTGTGGGATAAGTGGACTACGTGGCCTTGTGCTGGACGGGTCAAATTTTGAAAACACGCAGGTTACAAAAAAATTCCAATCTGGGGAGCTTTTTGGATTCCAGAGTGTTGAATAAAGATCGCTGGCTCGAAGACATAACGTGACAAAAACGAGAGAAACACAAATTTCTTTGTCCCCCATGTCATTTTACATGCTTGTTAAATATCTGTGGGTTAAATTCCCAGCACGACAGTCTTGCTGAAAGGATGTGCGGATCTTCAGTTTTGATGCCCACGGCCGCACCTCCCCAGGTGGGGGCCGCGCTGATACCTGAGGGCTCTGTTCCCACAGAGTCACCCACAGAACGCGCCAGTGAGTGCGTGGGCTTTTGCCCTAGATTTAGAGCTGAAAAATACTGTCTTGGCATGTTTCTCTTTTTGTGATTGAAATTAAATTTTATGTGTTCTAAATACATCTTATAAACACTGTTTTTTCCCTAATGAGAACCAGGGAAGCTTAACAAGATTGGCGTGATGTATTTAGTGTGAACAAAAGTAAGAATGTCTGGAGCCCGGCACCTGTTTAAAGAAAAGAACCGGCTCTCACCCGTCACTCGAGTCACCTGCCCACCGCGCCTGCGTTCTGCGTGGCCCGAGGCCTTGAGCCGTTTTTATCGCGTGCACTTTTTTTTTTTTAAAAAAGGAAAACAAGAGAGAATGCAATTAAATGTTGGTTGTTTTGCTCACGTTGGAGCAGAGACAGCATGAGCAGCCGGAACGTAGGTGAAATCACGCAGACCGGTGTCGCCCTGGAGAAATTAATCGAGGACTTTTGTTTGGTTGTGACAGCGCGACCCACTTTTGTAATCCAGCCACAGAACACGGAGGTGCTGGTCGGGCAGAGCGTCACGCTGGAGTGCAGCGCCGCCGGCCACCCCCCGCCGCGCATCTCCTGGACGCGGGGGGACGGCAGCCCCTTGCCGGCGGACCCGCGGGTGAACACCACGCCCTCGGGCGGCCTTTACATTCAGAACGTGGTCCAGGGCGACAGCGGCGAGTACGCGTGCTTCGCGTCCAACAGCGTGGAGAGCGTGCAGGCCACCGCCTTCATCATAGTCCAGGGTAAGGCGCCGGGCCACTCGGCCTGCCTCGCCCTCCCCCGTCCCCCGGGCTGGCGCCTGCTGTGTGCGTGAGGCTCTCGGCAGCCTCTGCCCTGTCCACGCGGCCCACGAAACTGACCCGCACCCTCACCACCACTGGGTGCTCGCGAACAGTCGCCGCGGGGTGGCTTTGGAACAGAGACCTCAGGAGGGCGGCCTCGTGTGTGGCCGCGCCGGCCACACGCCTCCAGCGCCTGGCCCGTAGCAGTGTCTGTGCATGAGTGAGCGTGTGTGTGTGTGAGTGTGAGTGCATGTGTGAGTGTGATTGCGTGTATGAGTGCATGTGTTTGTGAGTACATGTGTGAGTGTGAATACATATATTTGTGCATGTATGAGTACGTGTGAGTATATGTGTGTCTGCATGAGTGTGTGAGCATATGTGTGAGTGCATGTGTGTGTGCTGAGTACGTGTGAGTGCATGTGTGTAAGTGTGCATTTGTGAGTGCATGCGTGCATGTGTGTGTAAGTGTGCATTTGTGAGTGCATGTGTGTGTAAGTGTGCATTTGTGAGTGCATGCGTGCATGTGTGTGTAAGTGTGCATTTGTGAGTGCATCTGTATGTGTGTGATTGCATGTGAGTGCATATGTGAGTGTGAATGCATGTATGACTACACGTGAGGGCATGTGTGATTGTATGACTGCACATGTGAGTGTGAGTGCATGTATGACTACACATGTGAGTGCATGTGTGATTGTGTGTATGACTGCACATGTGAGTGTGAGTGCATGTGTGATTGTGTGTGTGAGTGTGAGTGCATGTGTGTGTGCTGAGTACGTGTGAGTGCATGTGTGTAAGTGTGCATTTGTGAGTGCATGTGTATGTGTGTGATTGCATGTGAGTGCATATGTGAGTGTGAATGCATGTATGACTACACGTGAGTGCATGTGTGATTGTGTGTATGACTGCACATGTGAGTGTGAGTGCATGTGTGATTGTGTGTGTGAGTGTGAGTGCATGTGTGGTGCGTGCAGATGTGCCCCAGTTAATCCCCACACCCTGATGACAGCTGTGAGCACTCCCACACGGTCACTGTTTGGACGTGGGACCCGGGAATGTCTGTAGCTCCACACCCTCTGCCCTGGTGTCTGCGTGGCGTAATCGTGACATGAACCGTGAGTGAAGACTGAGACAGACATGCATAGCAGGGGAAATTCCGTCCCCACCCGTCTCTGACCGTCCCGCCTCACCGACAGTTGCTGTGGCTCCAGCCGCCCAGTCCCCGCGTGTTGCGTGGTCTCCCTGTCCGTGTGGTTGTGACTCTGACAGAGGTGGATCGCGCTGGGGGTGCGTGTCCCTTGTGGACTTTCCCACTCCCGAGACGACTCCTGTCGCTCTGCGCGGAGCTCCAGCCCACAGTCCCCGACCTGCAGGTGTCAGGCTGAGGGCGAGATGCGTGGTGTTAACTCGTCCTCGCCCTGCTGCTTGAAGCGTGGCGTCACCACGTGCGCTGGGCAGTGGTGGCGTGGCTGGAGGGGCGGCCACACGCCAACCACGAGCTTGTCCGTGCTCCCCTTCCTGGGCCCCCCGCGCTTTCTCCCAAGCGTCTTCACCGCCCTCCTCCTCCTCCTCCTCCTCCTCCTCGTGGACGTGGCACCCGCAGTCCGGCGTCCCGTCCCAGCGGCCACGTTCTGTGGCACTTTCCCCTGCTGCTTTGTGACGCCCCGTTCCGACTGTTTCTTCCCGCAGCTCTTCCTGAGTTCACCGTGACGCCCCAGGACAGAGCCGTCATCGAGGGCCAGACGGTCGACTTCCAGTGCGAGGCGAAGGGCAACCCACAGCCCGTCATCGCCTGGACCAAGGGAGGTGAGGCACGCGGGCTTCCGGCCCTTTCCCCGCCCCCGCTCCGGACCCACACGAGACCCCGCTGTCTTCCCCCCGGCCAGGCATACCAGGCGCCCCCCAGGCAGGGCCCAGCTGTGGCCGAACCCCACACAGCCGTGGCGCGGGGGCGGGTGGAGGCGTCCACGTCTCTCCCGTGGCTCCCCTGGTCCACGCAGGGCATCACTGGCAGGCCTCGGGACACACTGGGAAGCTCTGCCGTTACTGCATGGACTTCTGTGTCCTCACACCTGCACGTCTGCCTGCAGTTAGCATCTTCGACCAGATTTGGTAGCATGCGGGATAGAATTTTCCGGAAGCAGTAGGGGAGCATATTCAAACAGACGACAACTTTTCTTCTCCCTTTGGTTCCTGGGACGGGGTCCTAGCCCGCTTTTCCAACAGGGAGCGTGCTGGGCCTGTCACCTGAGGAGGCCCAGCCTGGGTGGGGAGCATGGGGCGAGGGCAGGCACCGGGCCCCGAGAGAACCTTCTAGGGAGACCTTCAGGGTCCCAGCTGGCAGATGCCTTTGAGACGTCCTGGTCACCGGGCTTGAGCCGAAGGGCCAGCCCCTTCACTTCCTCCCTCTGGGGCCGTCCAGGGCTCCTGCAGCCGGGGCGGAGGTGTGTGCCAGGCCACACACCTGGGCTCCCCTGGGCTCCGGCAGGTACGGTTTGGGATGGGAGGGGGTTGTCCCCAGGAGTAACATGCCAGGACCTCGCTTGATTTTACAGTAATTGCAGCCCCTGCATCCTCTTCCCAGCTCTGCAGTCAGGTGACATCCCAGACACCCTGAGTGCCTTGTCCCCTGGCTCCTAGGTGGCCCTTTACTCTCTTTCCCTCAAGGCCCCTTCCTTCGTGCCACTGGAGGGCAGGGACGGTTTGATCCCCCTGCTTGTGTCCAGCAGGACAGACAGGTGCCCTCATGCCGCCCAGTCCCCACCACGCCCTGACCCAGGTGCAGACCAGCTTCTGTGATGTCCTCCCTAACCCCACGGGCTCCGAGTGACGGGCGCGTGTCCCTTGCAGGGAGCCAGCTCTCCGTGGACCGGCGGCACCTGGTCCTGTCCTCGGGAACGCTCAGGATCTCCGGCGTGGCCCTGCACGACCAGGGCCAGTACGAGTGCCAGGCCGTGAACATCATCGGCTCGCGGAAGGTCGTGGCTCACCTGAGCGTGCAGCCCAGAGGTGCGCGGACTGGGGAAGCAGGTTTCCGCAGCCCACGTGACGTGGCTGTTCATTTGAAGCGTGGACTCCTCCCTCTGTGTTCATGGACCGTGGTGGTGCCTGCACCCCGGGGTGTCTGCGTCCTGCTCGTTCAGTCTCTGTCCCCTTCGCTGGCGAAAGTCTATTTATTTGTTAGTGATGGTGGCTTTGCATCCGGATCAGGCTCCGTCAGGTGTTTTTCCTTCCGAACTACTGTCCGCTCGGGAAAGGGCTCCTGGCTCCCTGTGCAGGGCAGTTATCTGGGGGCATGAGGTCCACCAAGCTACCTGCCCGTGCGGGGACCCAGATGCCGTCTCAGCCGCCGTCCCTGTCCCCGTGTGTCCTTTAGGGACGTCCCGCTTGCCTGTTCCCCCGCTTGGGAGACCCGGCTCCTCGCAGCACTGCTGTAGTGTCAGGGCGGGAAGGTCAGGAACCTCTGACCTCTGAGAGGCTCCTGCGTGATGCAGGGTGACCCCGCAGGGAGGCAGCCCAGGCCGCTGTGCCCTGAGCCTGGATTGGGGACAAGGGAATTGAGGGCACTTGCCCCGAGCTCCCTGTGGAGGATGCCGCGAGGCTGCCACGGCTTGTCGGTGGCTGGCCTGGCCTGGCCCTGACCTGGCGGACACCGACCAGCAGCTGGGGGGGGCGCGTAGGGTGGGGGCTCCTGAGAGGCTCTGTGGTCAGCCACCCCCACTTTTAGATGAGAACACGCCTCTCTCGGTGGCCTTTTTTCTCTCCACGACACAAGTGTCTCGGGAGGCCGTGGTGCCCTCGGTGGGCCGTGGGCCTGTCCCGGCTCGAGTGGGGCCTGGGGCACGAGGTGGGCCGTGGGCCTGTCCCGGCTCGAGTGGGGCCTGGGGCACGAGGTCCTGTCCTGGCTCGCGTGGGGCCTGGGGCACGAGGTGGGCCGTGGGCCTGTCCCGGCTCGAGTGGGGCCTGGGGCACGAGGTGGGCCGTGGGCCTGTCCCGGCTCGAGTGGGGCCTGGGGCACGAGGTGGGCCGTGGGCCTGTCCTGGCTCGCGTGGGGCCTGGGGCACGAGGTGGGCCGTGGGCCTGTCCTGGCTCGCGTCGGGCCTGGGGCACGAGGTGGGCCATGGGCCTGTCCTGGCTCGCGTGGGGCCTGGGGAAGGAGGTGGCAGCCTGGCCGTGTTGAGGGTCTGGCGCTGTCTGTCTCTGAGTTGGTCACAGTCTGCTCCTCATGCCGTGGGCAGGTGGGCAGGAGGGCAGGTGGACAGGAGTGCAGGTAGGCAGGAGGGCAGGTCAGTAGGTGGGCAGGAGGGCAGGTGGATAGGAGTGCAGGTCGGTAGGAGGGTAGGTGGGCAGGAGGGCAGGTGTGCAGGTGGGCAGGTCAGTAGGTGGGCAGGAGGGCAGGTGGACAGGAGTGCAGGTGGGCAGGAGGGCAGGTCGGTAGGTGGGCAGGAGGGCAGGTGGATAGGAGTGCAGGTGGGCAGGAGGGCAGGTGGGCAGGAGGGTAGGTGGGCAGGAGGGCAGGTGGATAGGAGTACAGGTCAGTAGGAGGGTAGGTGGGCAGGAGGGTAGGTGGGCAGGTTGGCAGGACGGCAGGTCGGCAGGAGGGCAGGTCGGCAGGAGGGCAGGTCGGCAGGAGGGCAGGTCGGCAGGAGGGCAGGTGGGCAGGACGGCAGGTGGGCAGGACGGCAGGTGGGCAGGACGGCAGGAGGGCAGGTGGGCAGGAGGGGAGGTGGGCAGGTCTTCTCTGGAGCCCTCGGGGCTCCTGGCCCTGTGCAGGTGCCTCTAGGAGGCAGTAAAAGGGACCACCCGGGCCCCTGAGCTCTGGGCAGGGCTGCCTGGTGGGGCGGGGCTCCACTCTTCGGAAGCTTTGGTACAAATCACTCATTTCCCGGATTCTCCGCGTTTGCCTTACAGTCACCCCAGTGTTCGCCAGTGTCCCCAGCGACATCACGGTGGAGGTGGGCACCAACGTGCAGCTGCCCTGCAGCTCCCAGGGCGAGCCCGAGCCGGCCATCACCTGGAACAAGGTAGGAGCCCTGGCTGGCCCTGCTATGGGCGTGCAGACCCCGCACTACCTGCCCTCTGCTCTGCAGCCTCCGGAGAGCAGGGGGAGGGATGTTGAAATGGCGAGCGCTCGGTGCAGAGCAACGTGGTTGCTTTCTGATGAGAGCAAAATATGTGATCCCAGCACTCTGGGAGGCTGAGGCTGGAGGATCACCTGAGGCCAGGGGTTTGAGACCAGCCTGAGCAAGAGTGAGACCCCGTCTGTACTACAAATAGAAAAATTAGCCAGGTGTGGTGGTGCACAACTGTAGCCCCAGCTACTTGGGAGGCTGAGGCAGGAGGATCACTTGAGCCAAGGAGTTCGAGGCTGCAGTGCGTTATGATTGTGCCACACTGCACCACTGTACTGCAGCCCGAGTGACGGAGCAAGACCCTATCTCAAAAAAAGTAAATAAGTAAAATAATAAAACAAAACAAAAATTGGCCAGGCATATGGTGGCTCATGCCTGTAATCTTAGGACTCAGGGAGGCTGAGGCCGGAGGATCGCTTTAGGCCAGGAGTTTGAGACCAGCCTGAGCAAGAGCAAGACCCATCTCTACTAAAAATAGAAACATTAGGTAGACGTGGTGGTGCATGCCTGTAGTCCCAGCTACTCAGGAGGCTGAGGCAGGAGGATCACTTGAGCCCAGGAGTTGGAGGCTGCTGTGAGCTATGCCTGCACCACTGCACTCTAGGCCTGGAGACCGAGCAAGACCCTTTCTCTAAAAACATAAAAAGAATAACAACTTGGAGCATTCTGTGTTTTTGTTCTTTTCAATGACAAGAGCAAAGAAAAAAACCCCTTGCTTCGGTCTCGTAGTCAGTAAAAGGGGTTATTTCATTTTCCTTTGCTGTTTAATAAGCCCAGTGTGAACGCCCTGTGTGAATGCTCATTATGAACACCCAGTGTGAACACCCAGTGTGAACGCCCAGTGTGAACACCCATTATGAACACCCAGTGTGAACGCCCAGTGTGAACGCCCATTATGAACACCCAGTGTGAACGCCCAGTGTGAACGCCCAGTGTGAACACCCATTATGAACGCCCAGTGTGAACGCCCAGTGTGAACGCCCAGTGTGAACGCCCAGTGTGAACACCCAGTGTGAACGCCCATTATGAAC